ACGTTTCGCATCGTCGCGTGGCTGTCTCGCTGCAAGAAAACGTTGCTCTGACACGTTGTCCAGCGGAATCGGATGGAATCTAATCGGATTACATAGTAAGAACGACGGTTGAAACGAAACTTCGTCCGGAAGCTGCAATTTGTAACGATTAAATAAGACTCAACGGGGTCGTTTCGGTTTCGTGGGTTTAACGACCAATCGAGGAACACAGTAATTAGCTTCTAATCGTATTGACATTTGAATCATTTTCAGTAACACGCAATTACGCGTTGTCTCTTAACTTCTCGACTTTCCCTTTTATTATTCAATCGACCTTCAACCGCAGTCGTTTATAATCAAGTTACGACAGAAAAATCGCCGCTATTAAATCATTTACTGTTTAAAACCTCCACGCTTTGCGAGGGTTTTAATTCGAAAAGGTTACCGCTCGCTTGCGAGAAACGCTCGATGTAAACACCGAGGCGAGTGTTAACGCGTTGCCACAATTAATGTTTACGTTGGCCACCGCGCGGTTTTCGCAAGCGTGTAACCTTTTCAACTGAGAACTCTCATAACCCATGGAAGACGTCTCCGACAATAAACAAAGACTGAATACCAATGACTGCTTGTTCTCCGCAATCGGAGTACGATGAGAACGAATGCCTAAAAGGAGAAGAAGAAACGGCGGAAAGTCAACGGGCAACGTTGTCGAGAGAAACGGAGGATCTCCGCGTAGCTTGATAACGCGTCGAGATCCCGTCGTCCGCAGGGACGAGCAACTTTTCCCAGACTCGACGGAACAACAGCCCCTTTCCCGCGTCCCGAAAAGTCGACGATCATTAACCACCGATGGAAACGATCGTTACACTTTCTTAACACTTCCCTCGCCCCTCTGCCCGCCGTTGGAACCCCCTTCAGCGGCGTTCGAGGCGAGCAAGATCGAGGCAGCAGCCCGGGAACAACCTCTCGAGAACGATAAATCAATGACTCTCGCTCTTTCCGTCGCTACTTCCGACCCTCTCTCTCACCCGTTATTCAATGCCGATACAAAGAGCCGGCACGGCAATTAAGGGTGTTTTAGAGTGGCTGCACTCGAAAATGACCGGCCGCCACCCCTAGCGAACGGTGGGGGTATTAAAAAACATTA